GAACTAGTAGGTATGTCTGTGAAGCGAGGAGTGTAACCAAGAACATGTATAGGGTTGGCAGCCAATGGTCCTATAAGTTTATGTGTATGATCTGAATTCCCAGGTGTATAGTAGAGCTGACAAGAAGCAAGGTTGTAGTCACTGCTTGGTCACAGCCAAGCTACCCAAGAGACTGAGTAGTTGAACCTGTGAGCTCAGGACCATAGTCACAGGGGATATCAAGCTCAATTGGCCTAACATGCTACACAAAACATTGTTCCACCTCCTACTTTGGTGAGTAGCAACTGGGATCTTAAAAGCTTAAGCTGTCATCTAGATGCAACAATGGGTCTCTCCTCATCCAGAGCAAAGAAGAATGAAGAAAACCAAAGATTGATGGAAACAATTAGTCCTAGTGACTGGTACACCATCTGATCTGCAGCCTTTACTACTATGAGACCAGAAGAACTAGATGGTGCCCAGCTACCACTGTTAACCACTTGGAATGGGATCTATGTAGGAGATCCTTGATAGAGAGGGAGAACAATGTGGAACAAAACTCAAAATCATTTGGAGGAAAAAAAAAAGGGAGGAGACCATGTTTGCTGGTCTAATAGAGCCTGCTGGAACCACTGAGACTATGGCCCCTAGCTGACCTTGAGCTCTGGAATTGAACCACACCTGTGGCTTCCAGCCAAACAAAAGACAGGAATATGAGCTGAACATTTACCTGAGGTAAATACACTCCTTGGAGAGAACAATCATGGGAGAAAGAAGGGCTGCTTATGCACAGGGAGACAGCTCAGGGGGAAGAGGTAACTATGGGGAGGAGGTGGGAGGGGAGCTGTTGCATTATGGTAAACTGTGGTCGATATCATGAGACAAAGTTTATGTGAACTGCTGTATGGAAAGTGAATTTGCTCTGTAAATTTTCACCCAAATCACAACAAAAATAAAAAGAAAATAGTAGGAACATATAAAGTCACTGAACCAAAAATTGCTTGTTGTTCAATCATTTCAGAAAGATCAAGGATTGATGGTAATGAATGATGAAATCCAAGTTAACTGAAGAAACTGAAGAAAAATAAGGCTCTAGAAATCGACAGAATACCAATTGAGATGTTTCAACAAACTGATAAAATGTTGGGGGCACTTATTCACATATATTCCAAGATATTTGGAACACAACTACCAGGAAGAGATCCACATTTGTGCCCATTTCAAAGAAAGATAAATTGGTCAGAATTGGGGAATTTTCAAACAATATCACTGATAAAACACACCAGTAAAATTTTTCTGAATATATTTGAAAATGGTTGTAGCAGTACATCGGTAAGAAATTGCCAAAAATTGAAACTGAATTCAGAAGAGGACATGGAATGAGGGATATCACTGCTGATGTTAAATGGATCTTGGCTTAAGGAGAGAATACCAGAAAGATGTTTACCTATATTTTATTGACTATGCAAAGGCATTTGATTGTGTGGATCATAAAAAATTATGGATAACAATGAGAAGCATAGAAATTCTAGAACATTTAATTGTGCTTATGCAGAACCTGTACATGGACCAAAAGGCATTCTCTCAAGCAGAATAAGGGAGTATTGCTTGGTTTAAGGGAGCTCTGGTGGCGTAGTACATGAGACATTTGACTGGTAACCAGAAGGCTGGTGGTTCAAACCCACCAGCCCCTCCTCGGAAGGAATGTTGGGCAATCTACTTCCATAGTGTTACCACCTTGGAAACCCAAGGAGGGGTTTCTGTGAGTAAGATCAGACTCGAAATCAGAAAAGGTGTATATCAGGGTTATATCCTTTCACCATGCTTATTCAATCTGTTTGTTGAACAAAGATTCCAAGAAAATGGACTTTATGAAGGAGAATGCTGCATCAGAACTGGAGGAAGACTTATCAACAACCTGCAATATACAGATAACAATTTGTTGCTTGCTGAAAGGAAAGAGGACTTGAAGAATTTACTGATGAAGATCAAAGACTACAACCATTAGTATAAATTACAACATAAAGAAAACAAAAATCATTTTACAATTGGACCAATAAGCAATATAATGATAAATAGGGAAAAGCTTGAAGTTGTTAAGGATTTCATTTTACTTGGATCCACAATCAATGCCCATGGAAGCAAGAGTCAAGAAATCAAACAATGCATTTTATTGGGAAATCCTGCTGCAAAAAAAAAAAAACCTGTTTAAAGTATTAAAAAGCAAAATGTCACTTTGTGGACTAACGTGTGCCTGACTGCTTGAATAATTTCTCTTAGAAAGATCAGCACCAGGCCCCTTCCCATGAGGCGCAGGTCAAAGATGTCCCAAATGTCCAAACTACCATGACACTCCATCATTTCAGACATTAACTCCTCCTCCTCCTCCCAGTAATTTCCCCAGTCTTAGGGTTCTGTATTTTGCTGTAACGCCTCACAGAACTCACAGACACCCAAGGGTTCGTCTCACGTAGTAGTGGTGGAGGCTGGCAGGCTGGTGAGTCGAGGGTCCGTGAGTAGGTCTGGCAGATCCTCCCAACTTTCAGGGTTTGATGAACCTCGATCAGCAGATCAGATGACGGCTGCTGTCCCAAATCCAGGGGTGAGATGAGGATGATCCAAGACACAAAGCCAGAGCAAGAGGAGAGCGAATCTTCTCAGGAGATTCGTAGGTATACCCTCAGGGAAGCTAAGGGTGTTGATTTGAATTATACTCTCCAGCAAGGCAGGACTCAAGATACAATCCACCTGTGTTGCCCCAACAGAATTAACCTAAATCACAGAGTCGATTGCCAGTCATTACAGGGAATGACTACTACCAGCTGCCCAGACAAGTTGATACATGACCTTAACTACCACACCACCCCAAATAGACATGGATAATGGGATTTACAAAACATCACAGAATGGAGGACAATGGCTAGAAGGGCCACATCAAGCAATTCACTGCACTGACCCAAGCCATAGTATTTCCAATCTCTTTGTATGCATGCAAAATGTGAACAGTGTAGGGAAGATCAGAGACAAATGGTTGCCTTTGAAGCAAGGTGCTGGCAACAGAATATCAAATATATATACCATGGACTGCCAGAAGAACAAACAAATCTATCTTGGAGTAATTACAGCCAGATTGTTCCTTAGAAGCATGTACTTTGAACATGTTATCAGAAGGGATCAGTACCTGGAGAAGGGAATAGAGGAAGTGAGAAAGAGGAAGACCATCAACTAAGTGGCTCCAACAATAGGCTCAAACATAACAATGATTGTGAGGAAGGTGCAGGACTAGACAGTGTTCCATTCTGTTGTGCATAGAGCTGCTATGAGTTGCAATTGACTTGATGGCAATGGGAATTAGATTTGGATTTCTTTAAACTGTTTAGCCCAAGAGAGAAGCAGAGTTTCTCACTGTAATAAGAAACAGTGTGTTGAACATATATTTATTAATGCTTTTTCAACTGCTCTTCGAAGTAAGTTATACTTTCTGATGTCTCATCAACCACAATTTTGAGACTTTTCCTTAGGAAAATATCAGCTAGTATTAGTCCCAGATGGTGACCTTCTATAATAATTCAACTATAAAATTTTTAATGGTGATATATGTCAAATCAGTATGGAAACAGCTCTGTTACCATCTCATCCATCTAAAAGAAAGCCTTAAAGATTAGTTGAAAGTAAAATATATCTGTAACTTTGTAAGTACTTAAGGTTTATGTATTGTCTCTTATGTGCAAAGTATTATGTTAGGTAATGGGAAGAAATAAAATGGATTAATTTTTACAGTGCATAAGTAGAAATATTGTTCTACAAATCCGCTAGATCTTAGACATACTGCAGTTTAAAACTTTTAAGAAACTCATGAGAAGGAAGGATACCGGTGTAGCTGTTCCCAGCGAGAAAGTAATGAAAATTCTTAGCCCATAAATCAGATTTTTGAAATGTCTTCTAACAATACTAGGTATTACTTTTAGGGCTAAACCACTTCTTACAGACTTTTGAAATTCTATTTCATTCTAAATCCCTGATTGAGATTGATTTTTTTCTCCCCACTTTAGTAAACAGACTTCTACTGATTGTTTATTTATATGGGGCACTAGTTAGATGATAGATACTACAAAGATAAATACATTTCCTGTCCTCAAGGAACATACCCATGGAAATGAGAGAAAGCATGAAAACAAATAATAGAGTGAGACACACACAATAACAGATACTAATTAATCAAACAAAGAAGATTCTGAAGATTTATCACAGTTGTTTTGATGAAAATTTATACATATTGACTAAAGGTATGAATTAAAAACTGATGAGGAATTTTTTAAAACATTTTTATATTACTAAATCTATTTAAAATATCAGAGGCCAAAACACACTTTATATCAATCTTAAAATAAAAATATAGGTTCTATTTTTTTTGAAGGTCCTGAAATTTTACAATTTGATTCTAAAGCAAGTCTTACTATGTGAAAAATATTTTTCCTTTGGGAGAATATAAAATTATATAACTGATTTTATAAAATATTCTAAATATTAATAATCCCAAAGCTTTATGGCTAAATCAACAGTACATTTTGCAATGGCCATTGATAGAATAGCTGAATTCATAGTTAGCTTATTTTTCTGAAAAATAACATCTTGAAGTTATGTGTAGATCAGTAAACCATTTACATTGCACAATTTCTAAATGACAGTATTGATCCAAATCATTTTGAATTACTAATTGCAGAGAAATTGCCTGCTTGGCAAAAGGAAGGCAGCTAAGATTGGTCATGCCAATACCATTTCACTGTAAATGACCCTGCTGACAAGTTGAGTAGAAGGCTGTTTTCTAAAGCCATGTCTACATTTTGCTTTTCAATTCTGTTCTCAACAGTGAAGATATATATTGAGCTATCTCAATTTTAGAATAAAATGCTTTCTTGATTTTTCTATTATGCCATACATTGTACATTATTTAGTTCCAAGGAGAGTTTTTTTTTTTTATCGTAGATGGGATCTTTATTAATCATAAATGACATACTTACTCTTTTGGAAACACTGGAAAGCAAGTCCAGGCCAATAAAACTGTACTGTTGGTTGTATGATCAATCCCAAACAATTTTATAGTGAGCATGGATTCCCTTGGAAGTGACTTTATTTCAAGAGGAAAATTGATCCTGAAAATAAAAGAAGCAACATTATAATGTCTGATGGTACCACACATGAAGAATAAAAATAGAATTCACTGTTCTTGAAATTCTCAAAGTTTGATGTCAATTTATTTAAGTATTGGGTGAAAATTAGAAGACTAATGATAATCTAAGTCAATTAGAATGTGATGACTGAGGTTGGCCCAGCTGAAGCCTCATATAATGTTGAAGGTCTTTTACACTAGGAGGTAGCTGTCTAATCTGGATACTAGGGAGTGGTCTAATCTAAATTACTCAGGGTTCAAAATATGACATTGATGATTTGTACAGCACTCAGCCTCAGAGAATAAGGAGAGTTCACTGATGTCAGTGATGATAATTGATTTTGAGGAAGTGAGCATCCCCCTTTTCACCATGGTATTCCCTGAGATTAAGAAGTCCGAGTCAGGATGGTGATACTGTCTCTAAGAAGAAGAAAAACATAAGAGCTATTCTAAAGATGAAATGGATTACTCATACTTGACTGAGAGTATATTAGTAGAATAGAACAATGAAGAACTAAAGATGAATTCTAGTTTTCTAGACTATGATATACTGCATATCTTCAACCAAAAGAAAGAGGAAATTAAGGAGGTTAATGTGTACCATTTGGGGTATGATGTCATTGGATTAATAACAATGATCAGATATCAATAAGGAGCCCTGTGGTACAATTGTTAACCATTTGGCTGCTAACTGAAAGGTTGGCAATTAGAATGCAATAGTGGCTCCATGGGAGAAAAGACAGACTTTCTGCTCTCATAAAGATTATAGCCTAGGAAACCCTATGTGACAGTTCTACTATTTCACATAGGGTAACTATGAGTCGAAATCTACTCCATGGCACACAACAATAAGAATAACAACAAACGAGATATCAATATGTAAGTTGTGTGTGAAGAGGGTAATAGAGTTTTAGATTTGGATAAAATTGAATTAAAATACTGAATCTGTTATTAATAAGATGTTGCACCTAGAGTAATTCATTTACCTTTCTAAGCCTCAATTTTCCTTGTCCATAAAATAGAACTAATATTATATAACATAATATCAGAAAATAACAGGCTCTATATCAGCATTATAGCTATTTAATCAATCATGTAATAATTTGTATTCTCCACTGTGCTTTGGAGTGGTGACACATTCCATTGTTGACATATGAAATATGATTCAGGGAAGAATAGGAGAAGATGGAGAAAAGACAAAAGTGGGCAAAATCTTCTATTTTTCAAGATTGGCCAAAGTTAGATTATTTAAAAAATTAAATTGCTACACATTTAAGCATCTAAAACTAAAAGCCTTTTTTTCTTTCTTTTCCATTCATCTTCTTTCAAATTCATAATACTCAGTCAAAATAATATGGACATATTCCTCAGCTTAAAGGAAGCTCTGAAGCCCAACATAAAATGTTGATGATCCTGTGAAATGCACAATAATTCCTTGAATGTTCTCTCTTTTGCCTATAACTGACTTTCTATTCACTTTTTATATTTCTGTGGTAGGATGAAAGCTATTATTTCACTTTATTCTTCACATAATCTAAAATGTTCTTCTTTGCATTGAGTCTGGCTTCTTCATGTATAACTTCATCTGTTAGTGAGCTTTTCATTTTAAGAATGATAAAAAATTATATGTTATGGTGGATAGTTACTATCAATCTCCATTCTGTCATTTTTATTAATACGGGTAATCTTATGGTAAGAATGCATGCTTTCTCAAGTTATTTATTCATTTATGAATAAAAATAGACTTTAAAAGCCAGCATAAACTCATATTCCCTGGGAATTTTTATTTTTAAATTCTCCACAGCTGCTCAAAAGTCAACATAATGAACTTTCAAATTAAAAAAAAAAAAAGAAAAATAAAAAGAATATGAAACAATTCAGTAAGTGGAAGCACATTATTTCTTTATATCTAAGCAGCTGGCACAGACCTCATGTTTTAATTACGTGTTTGACTTACTTTACTATTCAAAATAAGAAAACATTAAGATCCAACCCATACTGACCCCTCCTTGGGTTTCCGAAGTGGTATCACTATGGAAGTAGATCGTTCAATCTTCTTTCTAAGGAGTGGCTGGTGGGTTGAACCACCAGCCTTCTGGTTAGCAGTCAAATGCCTTAGGCACTGCACTACCAGAGCTCCTAAAAGAGATGATTTCTCTAATATCAGAGCAAATTTTTGACAGTGAAAATGGGAGATTTAAAAGTCAAACAAAAATTTCTATTAACACTGATACAAAATAAAAGAACTAGATTAAGCACTCAACTATCACGAAAATTTTTACTTTTGTCTGAAAGGAACAGGGAATCATTTAGGATTTTTAAAGAGAGCAATGGCATGGCCTGACTTCACTTTAAAGTAGATCACCTTAGCTTCTGTGTGAGAAAAGCTATGAATGTACAAGAGAAGTAGCGATACCATTATAATGCTATAATGCACCATTATAGAAATAATGGTGGACTAAACCAGTGAAGTTATATTTTGGATATATTTTGATGACAGAGCCAATAGGATTTCCTAGACATGGGCTCCACAATAAAGGGATTCAGGATTTTGGTTTGAACAGCTGGACCTGAAACTGACCATCCAGAGGGGCCATCTGTGGGTAGAGTGGTTTTGAAGTGTAGAACCAGTTTAGTTTTAGGCATGTTGAATATGGAGTTGGCGACTGATGTCTGGTTGGTGACATAAATTTGGAAGCTGTTTTTATATATTTTGCATTAAAGCTAGGTGAGGCTAAGAGAAAAATAAGGAAATAAGGATAGATGCAAGAAGAGTGTCCAGGATAAAGACCATCAGTCTAGGAAAAGGAGTGGCCAGGAAGGTAGGAAGAAATTTCAAACAATGTGGAAGCCAAGTAGATAGTGCATTTCAAGATGGAAAGGCAAGATCAACAATGCCAAATACTCCTGATAGGTCAAGATGAGAATTAAGAAGCAAACTGAATTTAACAATGTGGGGTGACTGGTGACTCTGATGGGCAAAACCAGTGGAGGAAAGGTGATAGAATATGATTTGAATATGTTTTAGAGGATTGGAAATAATTTGAAGAGAGAGAATTTAGACAACTACTGAGAGAGTTTTCCACAAAGCAGAGGGAAGAAATAGGGTGGCTGTTGTTAGGAGATAGGGTAGAGTTACTTCTGTTTTTACTTCAGATATGAGAATTAAGAACATATTTAATTATCATTTTACTGATGTAGAAACTGAGATTCATGGCATGTAAACACTCTGCCCAAGATTTTGTATCTTCTAAGAAACAGTATAGAAGTAACAGCAAGAACTTAAGTTTTGGAGTCAAACATACTTGATCTGAATACTCCTTCTGCCATTTACTGGTCATCTGAATTGGGGTAAGTTAATTAAAATTAGTAAACATCAATTTTCTGATCCATATAATTGAGATGGCAATACTTTACCCATAGTTTTATTGTGAGTTTAAGATATTTCGAAGGTATACAACAATACTTAGCATATAATAAATGTGAATTATCTATGTCAATTATTATTAAACAACATAATAAATCAAACCAAACTCTCTGCTATTGAGTTGTTTCCTACTCATAGCAACCCCACAGAGTTTTCAAGGGTATAAATCTTTATGGAAGCAGACTGCTTCATCTTTCTTCCATGGAACAGGTGGTGGGTTTGAACGTTAACCTTTTGGTTAACAGCCTGATTCTTTAACCACAGCACCACCAGAGCTCTTAAACAACATAACATTTGTTATTAAATCCACAGTTTAGTAATTAAAAATACAATTAATAATTGTATAATGTGTGTATGTTAATAAAAATATATAAAGACTGATATAGGTAACTAGCAGAATGGTACATTTCAACTGAAATAAAATGGAAAAGAACTTTCGTAACTAACTATTGGGGGAATCAAAGAAACTCATAGCAAAGATAAAATTTGAACAGCCTTGAAAAAAGAAAATTAAAATATTATGTGTCAATGTATTTGTTGCTAATGACTTTCAATTTGGGGGAGATTTTTTTTCTTTAAATCAACTTTAATCAAGGAGGGGTGGCTATGAGTCAGGTCCGACTCAAGGGCACATAACAACAACAACAACAACAGAGAATTTTATAAGCAAAGCTGATTCTGTGCAAAAGAAGGGGATTTTTTAATTGAAGATCAAGTCTTTGGTCAAAGGACGAAGGACAACAAGCAAAGAAAGAGAAATAAAATCTGTCACAGTTTCATAAGAAGGTTAAATTGCTTTGGGATGAGAATGACCATAAAGGGTGTGAAAATTGAAGGCCTGGAGACTATCTTCAGGATACAGTCTCTCCGTTAAAGTAGTAACACCAAAAGTGGTTAAGAGTGGTTCTACCTTACACACAGTCCTGAAACTCAGAGATTTTGGCACATATTTATTCATGTAAAAATGCAATGCTGAGAGTCAAATTATAAGAAAGCTAGACTTTCTGAAAGAGTGGACAGTGTGCATGGGGAATTTTCTTCTACTCGAGATAAGAAGAATATTGGCTCTCAGTAGAGCAGGGGAGATGTCAAATAAAAGACTGAAGGCTAATAATGTTAAAGGGGCAGCAGAGTAGCACACCTACAGGTTGTGGATGGGCCTAGAAGCCCCCTGAGATTCTGAGTGCAGAGAGGGCTTGAGCCCATGTGAGGATGTAGTAGGAAAGGACAGGACTTCCAGATTTAGGATATATCTTCAAAAGGAGAAAGTAGGAGCTAGTCACTCCAAATTAGGTGAAAGCTTCCACAATACATAGATGATTATTGTATTTTTTTAAAATATGATTGTTTTTTTAAAAATTATAGAGTAGTTTGTATGTGAAATTGGAGAATATACATATATATGACATGTATGCATGTATGCATTAGGTCATTTCTCTCCTTCCTCCCTTTAGCCCATAGAGGGCAGTCCTTGTATCCACATGTGTGAATGATTAATAACCTTTTTCTTTTGTCCAACTTTGCTTTTCTCTCCATTCAATAATATGGATTTGTTACTTGTCTAGCTTTTTAAATGGATTTTGATGTATTGAATTGAATATTGAGTTATCTATTATCACTAGCATATTTACCACATCATTGAAGCAAATCAACTGACAGTATTTTCTAAAAAAAACCTTATGCTTTGTCAAGAAAAAAAATAAGTTAAAAAAGAAAAAAAAAAAAAAAAACCTGACCTTTTCTAGATAAATAATCTAGCCAGAATAAAGATTAAACTTACGTTTCATTCCAGTTGACCAAGGAAAAAAATAGTTTCTTTGCTGGAATATGTCTGTAATTTCTCACTTGACATAGCTTCTTTCCAGCATATGTAAGACAACAGGAAAAAGAAAATGCTTTGTAGCTAAAAAGAAATAAGAAATAAAATTGATTCAACAAGCTGAAACCAGTATTCTATCTGGGTCAATTGTTTTTATAGTTAAAGTCAAGTGATAAGCTAAGATTGCTTGTAGAAAGTGTGCTTTAAAAATTACTTTAAGGATTTATGATATGAGTAAACTGATTCAGGATTAACTTTGTAGAATAAATATGTAACACAAAACTCAGTAGTGGAGCCAAAGTTTCAATTAGTATCTGTTCATTTTATAATTCTAAGTTGAATAAGAATATTTGAGTTCTATTTTAAATAAAATAACAAACTTTAACAATAAGGGAAAATAACAATAGTCAGCATATCTAGAGACATTCTGGCAAGTACTACTATGATTAAATCTAAAACATATTTAGGTAGTAGCTGAAGAGTTTACAAACACACACCCAAACACACACATGCAAATACACATCTGAAAACCTCCTGTCAAAACTGAAGTTTTGCCTTATATTACTTACTGCTAGGAGAGTTTATATAGAAACTCAATAAGCTAATGTGGACATTTGTTTAAAATATAATAGAAATTCCCTGTATGTAACAAATTTTGCTACACAATCTCCAAACAAGAAAAAAGGACATTTTTAACAAAATAAATATTTTCAGATATCTTTGCTTTTTCAGTTTTTTATGACTTTTATTTATTGATTTTCTAGAAGTTCCCTTGCCTATCAATTTTATATGATAAATACAACAAGAGAAATTGATACCTCAAATGATAGTGTGAGGAATATATATATAACATTGTGGTAAACTTGAGAAGCTTTTGAGTTAAAAAAAAAGGCTAGATTTCTAGATTTCACAATTTTAAAACTGTGGGTAATTTATTTGATCTTGTTATGTGTTAGTTTTTTTAATCTGTAAAATGGGTATGGTACCATTTTTTTTTTTTTTTTACAGATGCTAAGTAGTGCTTCTTTGAGGAATAAATGAAATAATACATGAAAAGTAGTTAACCCAGAACATAACTCATAGAATGTATTCAATTAATGGTGCTGTTATGATGAGAGCAGGGAGGAGGGCATGTAGATTTTGTTTGTTGTTGTTTTTCTAGAATGCTCCTGATTTTTATTCTTTGAGTTGAGCAAAATGAAATAAATGGCATAGGGTAAATAATGGGCTATTTATCATATGAATTTTCAGCCTTTTTTCTTTTCTAATACATGCATTTGAGACCATATAATTTCCTTAATAGCTTTGTCTATATTCTGATGGTTTTGTTTTTAATGAACTTTATAATATTTTCTAAGTCCTAGTATAATCACATTTTTAATCCGTGACTTATTTTAACATATATTTAAATAATTCCAAAAATTTTTATCTTTATATATATATTTTTTTGGTTATTATCTTCTGACAAAATTGCATTGCAGAAAGTAGATAAGATTTATATTACATAGATTATTTGAAATTTATTTAGATTTACTTTATGCTTTCGCTTTTCGTCACTTCTTAAATGTTTCGTGTATGCTTGAGAAGAATTTGTCTTTTCATGTTATGTAGGTACAAGCTGGATCAACTTGCTAATTACATTGGCTCATTCTTCCATATTCTTCCCAATTTTTCTGATTAATTGACTGACTAATGCCTGCGAGAGTAATGTTGATATCACTCACGAATATAATGGTCACATCAACATCTCCTTTTTCATCTAAGTTTTTTATTATGTTACATCTTTCTGATGAATTAAATATTTTAGTACCATGTAGTGACTTTTATATTCAATATTGCTTTTTCATTTGGAGCTCATGCATTAGTCTGTCAACTTTTAGTTGATATTTTTGCACAGTATTTATATTGAGAGATAGTGAGCCTACCTTCCACTCATTCCAGACTCTGCTAATGTGATGAGTCAATTTTGTGAAATAAGACTTTAATGCAATCAATGGAAGATATGGACTATTCAGTAGCACCATTTGGTGGAAAAGGCTATGGAAAAAGGAGCCTCTGTGTGCCATTCAAATCATCCCCACAAAGAGGGTATCCCCTTGATGAGAAAGGATTTCAGCTTGCTTACATGCATACACAATCTCTCATAATTTAAAATATTGTAAAATTAATTTTGCATAGGTGCAGTTTACCATGTAATATGCATTATTGTATGCAACTGTATGCTTACACTTATTTATAATTTCATAGAGTTCTATTTATCAAACCATGTGTCATGTACTTTGTGAGTTATTTAAGGAATTCTTAAAAATAATTTTAACTGACTTTTTAGTATAACCTCTTCATAAGATGTGGTTTTGTTGTACTCTTATTCATTATTACTGACAATCATTTCAACAATTGTCCAGTCAACAACTTTTGCTATTGCTGCTGATTTCTCTGGACTCACTTTCATTGATGCTGGTCCCTCTTCCTCAGGTTCAGTACCTCTACTGTGATTTCCTCTTTAACTCCTTTAGAATATCCTCTGGTCTACCATGCTTTACCATGATCACGTCCCTGTTTCCGGCTCTGTTTCTATTTTTTTTCCCTCAGTGATAACCATGACATGGGAGCTCTGGTAGCATAGTGGCTAAGACACTTGCCTGCTAACCAGATGGCTGGCGGTTCAAACCCACCAGCCACTCCTCGGAAGGAAGGTTGGGCAATCCTACTTCCTTAGTGATACTGCCTCGGAAACCCAAGGAGGGGTCGCTATGAGTCGGGGCTGACTCGATGGCACATAACAAAACAACACAACACAATAACCATGACATGGACTAAGCAATCCTGCCTTCCACCCGTGATGTAGCAGCTTCACAAACCAAGTCTGACTCACTTCTCCACTCGAGGGACTTTATTCAAATCTACTCAATAAACCTTTATTGAGCACATAACAACAACAACAACTATTTAGTAGGAAATGTTTGAAGAACGAGAGGTTGAAAAATAAATAAGATATAGTACCTACACTCAGATGTTCACAGTCATGTTGACATTGATTTTGGAGAAAAATAACAATATGTAATTAAGATAATGAGCATTATGTAACATATTTATAAAATGGTAAGTTTATCCTATCTTTGAAGGAGAAAAAGGTATTTTCTATATGCAAAGAGGAGTGAATTAAAAACTAATCATTTATTTTTTATATCATGAGAGGTTTAGGTTAACTATAAATGATTGCTAATCACTGCAATGAGCCATGGAAAGGATTTGTTTAACCAACTTATTCTAAGTAAGATACATTCTCATTTGTCTTTAATAGCTTGGATAGTCTCTTCCCTGAAGGCAGAGTAACCGAATAATAGCAATCAATTTCCAATTCTCTGACTTGACTATGGAAGCATCACTATTTTTATTTTAGAGTACTTAATTAACAAATTAGTTCATCAGGACCACTAATCTGGTCCTAATTACCATAAAAAGTTGTAATTTTGTTAACCATCCCCTCTAACCCCCATTTCCAGAACTTATACTTCTGGAGATGCCTCTGGCCTAGTTTCTTTCTTGATATCTCTTCTCAGCTGTGGTAGCCAGCTTCCAAGATGACTTCCAATGATCTGCCTCCAAATATTCAAACCTTTGTATAGTCCTTTTCCACAGTGTACCAATATGGTAAAGGTGATGGCATGTCATTTCTCATATTAGGTTATAAAAGACTACCTCTTCTGTGTTTGGAGCTCTCTTGCTCATGCATTCGCTCCTCTGGAGGAAACTAAGTGTCAGGCCTTGAGGATGCTTACCCACAACTCTGTGGTGAATAACTGAGACCTTCAATGTCACAATCCATGAGGAATTAAGGCCTATTGTAGGATAAAGAAATTAAATTTACCCAAAGTAACACGGCCTCTGTCCTTGGTTCCTGAAGAAATAACCTTTGGATTAATTGGGGTGCCAAGGCCTGGGACTGCCGTGCCACACCCGAGGATTTGCACCGGCCATACCAGAAAAGACTCAGCTAGAAGGCTGATGAGAACCAGCCTCAGGAGTCATGATTTAGCCTATCATGAAGAATTGGGTAATGCAGGTGTGTAATACAAAGGCTCAGAGAGCTTTTTGGTTGGCAAAGGAAAGGTGACATACCCTCTCTAAGAACTGTAAGGTTCGCTTTGGGAACCCTCTCAGTCCTCTCCCATATATCTTTTACTTATGATAACCCTCATTTACAGCCTTTGCTATAATATGTCTCTTATTCAAGTACTTTATTCTCTGAGAGTTCTGCAAGTCGTTCCAGTGAATTAATTATTGAATCTAAAGGAGAAGGGGAAACCAGGTGGAAACAGAGTATCATGTGGACTCCCAAATTTATGACTGTTGTTGTTGTTGTTATGTGCCGTCGAGTCGGACCCAACTCATAGTGACCCTTCCTTGGGTTTCTGAGGCAGTATCACTACGGAAATAGATTTCCACATCTTCCTTCTGAGGAGTGGCTGGTGGGTTTGAACCACCAGCCTTCCGGTTAGCAGTCAAGTGCCTTAGGCACTATACTGACTAGCATCTGCTTATTTGACAATCTAAAAGACAGCGTCATTTTAGCCTGTGAGATCTGTCTAACTCCAGGAGGTTGGGTCAGACAGTGTGTTGTGTGGGTGTCTGGTGTCAGAAAGTAATGACAAGAGAGAAGATGGAGACTGGATCAGTCTCCACATTTTGTGGATTGGACTCATGGTAATTCTTATTTATGTCATTATACATGAACCTGCCAAAAATCATGTCAGTTAGCATCAGAGTAGACCTTTAGCCCTAGTGAGCTCTGAGGTGACTGGTGCCCACTGTTTGATTGCAACTCATGACAAATCCTAAACTGAGCCCACCCAGTTAAGCTGCTCCCAGATTCCTCTCCCTCAGAATGTGAGACAATAAATGTTTGTTTCATGAAGAAGCTAAGTTCTGGGTTAAGTTATTACATAACAATAGATAACTTACACACTAGGACTCTGGGAAAACCTACAGTAAGGATACACACTAGTTAAGACACCTTACTAGAGCTTGTTCCTAGAGAATTTGTAAGGCTGATTCTATAAGAGAGGAATGGATGCTTCTTTTCCTCTGGTTCCAGCCCTGGCTTTATAGCTTGTTTCCCTAATGAATGGTAGGGATAATTTTGTTTCCTATATCAGAGCTCTTATTTATTCATTGATTATAAAGACTTTTATAGGAAAGCATTGTTTTATATTTATTGTTATATGTGTTCAGATAGTCTCTGACTTATGACAGGGTTACATTCTGACAACTCCTTCGTAAGTTGGTTTTGATGTAAGTTTAAAAAAGTTTTTATTTTTAAAAAATATTATTGCCTTTTATTAGTAGTATCTTTACAAATCTGATAATGTTTTGAACAGCATATCATAAAATTGAACATCTGCAAGTGAACATTTGAAAATGATAACATCAGCAATGTATGTATTATAACACATTACTAACAAGAAGATGCACACAAACAAAAGCAATGAATGGTCCTATGTTTGGTTCATTGCAGCTTGAATACATCTTAAGTTGGGGGCTACCTGTATATGTACATGCAAATGCAATGCAGTCACTGCCATGGAGTCAGATCCAACTCATAGCGACCCTTCCTTGGGTTTCTGAGGCAGTATCACTACAGAAGTAGATTGCCCAACCTTCCTTCTGAGGAGTGGCTGGTGGGTTTGAACTGACAGCTTTCTGGTTAGCAGTCAAATGCCTTAGGCACTCTGCCACCAGAGCTCCTTATATGTACATATTCAGCTCTATCTAACAATGTTCAAAAAATGCTTTTACTATTTTTCACTCTGCAATGAGGTGCTATATAGTAAAAGAAAAAGAGTTGGGTAGAAAGATTATATATACAATATGTGCTTTATTTAAATCTACACATAATTTTACATTTAGATACATATATTTACACACATGACTAAATATACAGACACACATATATATACATATACTTGTACGTACATGCTCTAAGCTCTATTCATAGAGCTTTTTTCTGTATTTATCAGACTATACAGTTATTTTGTAGGATTTAAAATGAATATATATCGATGGTTAAAAATTACTAGAAATATCTGTAGAGTAATGATAACTATTTTTAAATCCTTATAAATTCTTCATAAAATAATAAAAGCATAAAAAGCATAAAAGTATGAGTTCTAAAGAAACAAAAACTGTATTTGTGTGTGTTTATTTTTATATACATTAAGTATTTATTTATTTCTCATTGATTCTAGAAATATTTGTACTATATAGTTTACAAAAATAAAAACCAATAATTTATCTTTTTACTCCAATCATTTCTTTCAGATTTTGAGATTTTAAATTCAGGGGCTATAATAAATCCATTATTAAATTAGTATTCTCTTATCAATCTTAATTTAATTAGTATTCTTTATATATTTTGGTTGCATAAGGAATTTCAAGTGATTGTAAAATATTACTCTATATTATTCCAGAAAATACTACATAACAGAAAAATCCTGAACCCACTGCCTTCAAGTCAATTCTGGTTCACAGCAACTCTACGTAGTAAAATCAAGCTAGAATCCAGCTTTATGCCATAGTGTAATTATAATTCCTTTATATAGCAACTCAAATAATTCTTGGGTAATTTTCACTTTATCAGAGCATTAATCTCAGTGTTGGATTACCCAATCAGCAAGGTAAACCACAACCTTATTTGTGCTTACTTTCTACTCTGTAATGAACAATTCACTTTTTTTTTTTTTTTTTACCATATCAAATATTTTGTCTCTCTCCCAATCCCACAAGTACCCTCCTACAGAATCAAATCTTTTCATATTTACAATTGCTGACAGGGATGGAGTACCCAGTAAGCAAAATAAGCACAAGATTATTTGTGTTTACTATTCTGTAGTGAACAGTTTCACATGATTTTACCGCATCAATATGGATAACAAAGAAAGCAAAAGTAAGTCTGTGTTTACCTTGCTTCTTGGGTAATCTGTTCCTGACTAACCTCACAAAAATGTCTGCTGTTTGTGTGTATACTGTCTCTCTGTCTCTGTCTCTAGGTGTGTTAATACGTGCTGCTGTCTTTTACTCACTCTTTTTCCCAGTCATCTCTTCTATAATTGGTACTATTCATTCAAACCAAGCATGGAAGAGAAAACTGTAAGACAATCATTAAACAGGACAAGAGGTTTATACTTCCATAATGATATGTTGACAATAAAACCTTTTAAAATGGAGGATGAGAAAAGTCTTAGGGAAAAGAAGTATGTGTCAGGAATCTAAACTTACAAAAATGATTTAAGAATAAGGAAAAGTCTATGCTGATTAATTCTCAATATTTCATGATATATTTAGCCCTATAAATAAGAACAAGAGAAAAAAAATTCTTATTTTATGATATATTTAGCCCTATAAATAAGAACAAGACAAAAAACATTCTAATTAGAAGCTATGGAGACATTAAATTAACTCTTTTGTCAAAAAGTTACCCACTCACCCGTGCACCCAGGTCTCTGGGATGTTGTGAGCTGCATACACTGTGAAGCTAAAATAGCAATCCAGGGCAGGATTTACAAAGGAAATCCTTCCAGGTGTGTTTACAGGCTGAAAATCTGTATAAAAGCTGCTACAATACACATCAATTAGATGGTAGATGGCTGCAGATAGCTCAGCTGTCACTTTTTCTATTGAGCCTAAGGAGAAAAAGGGTGGATATTAGGTCATTTGTGAAGGGCCACACTTATCATAAACCATAAATTATGGCTTTGAAATTTCTTACAATAACATTTAAATAAAATTTAATTCAAATGACCCTCAACCAACTGAAGTCAATTAGCCATCTGTGCCTTTGAATGAAGCCTTTCTTAGCTGCTAGTAGAGTAGGTACCAGTAGGCTTTTGTATCTACAGCAGTATAAATTTTGAAAGCCTTTTACTCACAATTGAGTTTTTTTTTTAATTATTAATTTTCTAATCTGATCAACTGTAAATTGCAATATTTTTTCTATATAACTTGTAAGTACTTCAAACAAATCCCATCTAAAAAGTTAATTATAATAAATGTCACTATGCTGTTTACCATTAGCTGAACACTAATCATATACATTGTGCTGATAGTAAAAACAGAAGGACAACAGTTTATGGTTGGAATCTGAAACAAGTTGAAAAGAAGTGAAACGGTTATGTTTACTAAAGCTCTTCTATATTAAAGGTGTTCTTGAGTTTTTCCATTAGTTATTTACAGGGAATTTATTGATAATTCATAAAATGGCTTGTCATGAGGGAGGAAAATGAAGAAAAATGACTAGGTGTAGGGGCTACTAATTTTCCTCTAGTACTTGAGTAGATGTTGCGAGAAAAAGTAAGCACATCATTAGAGACTATGTTGTTAAGGTCAGCTGTAATTTGATTCCAATGAGTGCTGACTCAGGTCATTCAGTAACTGCAGTTTATTCAAACACTTACTCAAAAGATGTTTCTGTAACATAAATTGCTTTTTGGTTTTTAACTGTTTTGAAAAGAAAATAGCACATTTCAATAGTTTGCAGTGTGCTAGTGTGCAGGCATTTGGATACCTCAAGAAAGAGGCCAGCTTCAAGCACAGAGCTTCTTTGCACAGCTTGTCCCCAGTAAATGTGTCCATAATTAAACCTTTTTTATTGTTGTTCAACACATGCTATTATTCATTTAGTTGTTCATAAATTTTTACAAAACTTACAAGATAGCCAAATTTTACTTATTTGCTATATTTCAAAAACTGTACCCTTTACTGAAACAGCCTGAGCAAAAAAAGCTCTCATTAAAATTCTCTGACAAGTCAGCAGTAGTAATTAATGAAGCAGAAGAGTAAGGCAGCATAAAAATAGTCTTAAAACAGGCTCCATCAACCTCTGAAGAGCAGCTAATGGGGATTCTCCTGAACAACAAGCGGCCAGGAATTATAAATGTGTTGAAGTATCTTGTTTCCAGACCCCCAAATTGTACTGCTGGTACTCTGAAGCAGGAAGCACACATTTTTGTTAATAATTCCCAATGTTGATATGTGTAAATGGATATACATCCAAAATCAATCAGAAAATCGGGCCAAAGATCTTGATAATTAAAAGCACATTTTGGAGGAGACTTTAGTTTGACTCCAACTTTACCCTTCAGTTTTTTATGTTAGAAATACAGTTCTTGGTTGTATTTTCTTCTTTGAGGTTACAGAGAGAAGTGTGCTTATGCACTATGCTTTACTTCTAGAAGAACTCTAGATGAAGAATACATTTTGGCATCATCAACAATGTATTAAGAACTCAAGACACTGGCTTCATGGTAAATATATATACATAATGACAACTGATTTTAGAGTAAAAAAAAAAGTGGTATAATACCAAGAAATAAAGAGGCAATGACAATATATATTCAATTAAAATTCATTAATTAGAAACTGCAATGTTTTGGCACAAAATATGTCTCAAGGGTACATTCTTGTGCTGTTTTGTTTTGCTCATAGAGCAATGAGGGGGTTGGAGACTTCATTCCAATATTCCTAATAGGAAGAAAGGGCCAATTCCATGTAGGCATACCTCCAGCTTGTCCATTCTCTGTTACTATTTCCCAGATTCTATGCTAGAAATATTAGTAGGGGGAGTACTTCCTTATCCTTTATGTGTGGTGTCTGGAGTTTTATGGATGCCTGGGGCAGAAATTTTTGTACTAATATAGTTTTTTATCTCCAATCCTTCTGCCACCCCATTCTCCTCTGTGATGTGAGGTGAGGAATTCCTCAAGTATAATTGAATAGGTCACCTTTTGAAGAGCAAAACTTAGCATTGAAATAGTATCTCCCTGCATATAACTTGCTACTGAAATAATTAGGGAATGTAAGGGCAGGTGAGTGGTTACCATTTGTGCTACATTTCCACCAGTGAATCCAAGGCTGTTAGTTCAACACCTGTGAGTCAGTTTCCCTGAATCAGAGAGTGTTCCTATGCTAAATAATACCCACCTGTGCTAACACCACTGCTGCTCACACCCTGAACATGAAATACTGTGATATTTACTTTATGCAGATTAGGGGAGATGAGATGTAAAGATGTTAGTTGTCTAAGCTCACAGAGCTAAAAAGTGACAGAGTTGTATTTCAAAATATTTTCTGCCTGATTCCAAAGGTTAGGCTCTTTGCTATACATGAAGCTGTTATCATCCACCATTTTCTCTATAAGCAAAGTCCTCTGGTCTGCAGTTTTGTAGACAAAGACCCTCTGTAAATACTAATTATTCCAGAACTTAACTCTCTAACTTGCTATGTTAGATTGTTCTTTGAAATAGAGTAAGTAAGATTCTTTGAAATAGAATCTGGAATTTAATTTGAAATCAGTGACTTTGGAGACAGGTATTTGGTACTTTTCTGATTTTCTTACATCAAAATAGTCAGCCGATTAATAATATTCTGCTATTGTACTGGAATAGTTATAAGCATATTTTAGGTCGAGTCGGATCTGACTCATAGTGACTCCTCCTTGGGTTTCTGAGGTGGTATCCCTATGGAAAGAGATTGCCCAATCTTCCTTCTGAGGAGTGACTGGTGGGTTTGAACCACCAGCACTCTGGTTAGTAGTCAAATGCCTTAGGCAGTATGCCACCAGAACTCCCTGAGTTTGGTTTTGTAGAATAGTTATAAGCTTGATTTTTCCTATTTTATATTTTTCAATCCCAGGTCAAAAGTTTAGAATAGAGTATGATTGTTTACTTATATGCAGAATAATCACTTCTATAGAAAGGATTCTGGCAAAGCATTTTTTGCTCTAAAAAAGTATTTAATATGTGTGTGTGAAATTGTAGAACCATAATATTCAGATGAAAAATTGAAAAAATACAAGGTTTATTTTCCTTTTTTTTTTTTTTTTCTTTGAACATTTGGGTACACGTGTGTTTTACCTTTTATTGAAGTCTCTGAGTTTTGATGTAAATCCTGAAAAGGAATAATGGGTGCACAAACACACTTGTTATTCAAAAAGCAAATCTACAAAACAAGAAAACCTATCATTTTCAAAGTTTATACAATGAAATTTCTCTGGCAGAGTGAAAAGACAAATATTTCTTGGTGCCATACATCAATGTTACTTGTTAAATGAAGAAACTCTGAACTGTAAAAGAAAAGTTTTGTGAACATTGTAATGAATAATCTCAGCTGATTTTTTTTAAAGGAAATTGCGAGAATAGGTCCAATCTTTTCAGTGTTATTAGAGCAGTTCTATAGATATTACCCACCAGCCACTCCTCGGAAGGAAGATGGGGCAATCTACTTCCGTAGTGATGCTGCCTCGGAAACCCAAGGGGGTTCGCTGTGAGTCAGGTCCAATTTGACGGCACACAACAACAACATAGATATTACCTGAGCTCAATCCCCGTTCCATGACAGTGACTAACTTCTGATATAAGTACATTTCTAATTTTCTCTGCTTAGCGTATCGGGTTGTTCTCCTCAAGAGTCATTCAGTGACAACTCTGGGCAGCACTGGGCTAGATGTGAGTGGGCAATATCCTACAGATTCAGGATATAGTTTCATTTCTTTCTTTTTAGAATGTGTAAAAAAAAAAAAAAAGAAATACTGGTAGACCAATGCTTGGGGAATATAATATACCTTGTATCATATCCTAAATAATAAAAAAAAATCAATCAGAAATTTTATTATTTTGTTGTAATTTAAGTCATTTTTGTTATTCAAATTAATGGCCATTAGGATGGTGGTTTATTTGTTTCTTTGTATCTTTTTTGGAAGCCTAGAATTACTTTGGTAGCTTAAGACTTGACAGTTATAATTTTATTATCTTGAAAAGTATATAAAGTCATCCAAAGATTCACTTAAAAATAAGATTTCAGTCAAAAGAACATTCAATTTTCTAATAAAATTTAATTTAATTGACTCTGAATATCTTAACATTTTGCTTTAACAACTTTGTTTTTAAGGGACTCAGTTCACTAAAAGCCAGATCTCTCAAAAAACAAGTTAGGGAATAACCATTTTCCTATTACAAAGAATTGCTTTTAAAGGGAAAATTTATATCAAATTTAAAATTTGAATAACTATGTAGACAACTTTTCACGTAAAAGCAATATTCACCTGAAACTTGATGGCAGCATCTCTATTAAGCATTGCATCTGAGCAGAATTTCAACCACTAGACTTAACTACACAGAAGATCTTCACCCCATTCAGGATGGTGAGATTATTAAGATGCTTAGTCAGACTTAGTTGAATTCAGTTTACTCAGAAGTACAGACTTTTATCATAAAATCACCATGGCATCCACCTACACCACAATGTTAAAGCTACATTTTTCATTTTCTGGTTCATTTATTGTGTGAGCATTTAATGGAAAAAATATTATGTGAGCTTCCAGAAAGAATTGGAAGGATATAAAATTGTTTCCAGTGCTGAGTGGGAATATGAACTGAAGTACAACTGCATGTGTGATATAATTTTTCATCTTGCCAAAACTTACATTTAATAAATACCTAATTACTTCCCCATATGACAGAAAATAGTCTATTACAAGTTGACCAAAATGTTGCCAAGAAACAGGAAAGCAGCTCAGATTTCAGATTATGTTGGCACAATACCTGTATTTCTCAGTCTTCCTTTTACTTTAGATTTGTGGTGGGTGGACAGACTGAATTGCTTTGCATTGTTAACAGAGTTGGTTATTGCACAAATTCTGTAAAATGTGCTTACTGCTTGTGCCAATGATTGTATATGGGTAGAGCACTTTAAATCACAGGGAAAGATATGAATAAAAAGTCTGAATGCAGTTTCCAGCCAAACAAAGTACAGGCATGTGAGTTAAACATTTACCTCAAGTAGACACACGCCCTGGAGAGAACAATCATGGGAGAAGGAAGGGCTGCTTATGCACAGGGAGATAGCTCAGGGTGCAGAAGAGTATGAAGGGACGGACACTGGGAGGAGGTAACTATGGGGAGGAAATGGGAGGGGAGCTGCTGCATTGTAAATTTTGGTCAATGACATGAGACAAAGTATATGTGAACTGCTGTATGAAAAGTGAATTTACTCTGTAAATCTTCACCCAAATCCTAATTAAAAAAAAAAAAAAATCTGAATGCAGATGATATAGGATAAATGAACTTTTAAAGACTGCCCAAATAAGTGGGATCTATTTTGTGACGGCAATAGAATTATTTATGGTTTTGACATATACTAAATAAAACTGAAAATTGTCAATTCTTTTTTTTTTTAATTCTCATGCATGACAATCATCTCAGTTTTATCAAAATACAAGACAAATAAATATGTATATGATCATACAAGTTCCAAATACACACATACTATTTAGTGCTTATAAAGAAAGACACAGCAATCTGAAATGTGAATGCGAACTTTTCTTGACCATTGTGATTGTTCATCATTCTCCTAGGACACATACAATTCCTCCATGAAGGGATTATCAGGATTGAGATACATCAAAAGTTCAACACTTCTCAGAAAATTGTCATTTTTATATATTCCTTTAAGGAGTCCCAGAAAATGGACATTTTGAAATTAAAGCTCTTTATATGTAGTCATAATTTAATATCTTTGAAGTGCTTCATCGTAAAATTAGATCTTCCTTATTATTCGACCATTTGGTTTAACTAATCCACCAATAGCTGAATACAGAAATGGAAAAACTACCAAGTCTTAACAGAGGGAAGACATGTGTCCACATTTGTATACCTAGTCTCCGCCTTTGGCAATGACTCACATTTGTGATGAGGCTGACTATCATCATGACCTGAGATTAAGGACATCTAACCAGTGCTTGGGAGCTCTGGTAGCATAGTGGCTAAGACACTTGCCTGCTAACCAGACGGCTGGCGGTTCAAACCCACAGCCATCCCTTGGAAGGAAGACTGGGCAATCTATTTCCACAGTGATACTGCCTCGGAAACCCAAGGAGGGGTCGCTATGAGTCGGGGCCGACTCGATGGCACATAACAACAACAACAACAAACCGGTGCTTGTGTGGATTCAAACCGTCATTTTGGCCTCACGAGGAAGATTCTCCAAAACTACCACCAGTACCATCCCTACCAATGATTCTCATTCATTACACTATCTGGGCCCTTTTTAAAGTTTCTAATGCCCACAACAGTCCCATGAATTATGTTTTATTATCCATATTTTAGAAATGGAAGAGATCCATATTTGTGCCAATTCCAAAGAAAGGTGATGCAACAGAATTGAGAAATTATTGAACTATATCATTAATATCACATGCAAGTAAAACTATGCTGAAGATAATTTAAAAACAGTTTCAGCAGTACATAGACAGGAAATTGCCAGAAACTCAAGGTGAATTCAGAACTGGACATGGAACAAGGGAAATCATTGCTGGTGTCAGATAGCTCTTAACTGAAAGCAGAGAAGACCAGAAAGATATTTACCTTTGTTTTAGTGACTATGTAAAGGCATTCAATTGTGTGGATCATTACAAATTATTGATAATGCTGTTAAGAATGAGAATTCTAGAACACTTAATTGTGCTCATGCTGAACTTGCACACAGACCAAGAGGCAGCAATTTGAACAGAACAAGGGGAGAGTGCATGGTTTAAAATCAGGAAAGGTGTGCTTGGTAAAGTAGTAGTAGTTGTTCTTGCTAGGTGCCATAGAGTCACTTCCTACTCATAGCAAGCTTGCATACAACAGAACCAAACACTGCCAGATTCTGTGCCATCCTTATGGTCGTTAATATATTTGAGTGCACTATTGCTGCCACTGACTGCATCAATCCATCTCGTTGAGGGCCTTCATCTTTTTTGCTGACATTCTCCTTTATCAAGCATGATGTCCTTCTCCAAGGACTAGTTTGTCCTGATAACATGGCCAAAGTACATGAGATGAAGTCTCGTCATCCCTACTTCTAGCTATACTTCTTTCATGACAGATTTGTTCATTCTTCTAGTAGTCTATGGTATAATTATTTGCCAACTCTATAATTTAAAAGGCATCAATTCTTCTCTGTCTTTGTTATTCATTGTCTAGGTTTAGCATGTATATGAAGCAATTGAAAATACCACAGCTCTGCTCAGGTATACCTTCGTCCTCAAAGTTATATCTTGGCTTTTTACTTCTTTAAAATGGTCTTTTGTAGAAGATGTGCCCAATGCAATCCATTGTTTTATTTCTTGACTGTTGCATCCATGGATATTTACTGTGTATTCAAGTAAAGTGAAATCCTTGACAACTTCATCTTTTCTTCATTTATTATGGTGTTGTTTATTGGTCCAGTTGTGAGGATTTTTGCTTTCTTTATGTTGAGGTGTTATCCATACTGATGGCTGTAGTCTTAGATCTTCCTCAGTAAGGTCCTGAAGTCCTTTTTGCTTTCAGTAAGCAAGGTTGTGTTCTCTGTATATTGCAGATTGTTATGAGTCTTCCTTCAATCTTGATGCCACATTCTTCTCATACAGTCCAGCTTCTTGGATTATTTGCTCAGTTTACAAACTGAATAAGTATGGTGAAAAGACATAACCCTTGTGTACACCTCTCCTGATTTTAAATCATTCAATATCCCCTTGTTCTGTTCAAATGACTACCTCTTAGTCTATGTATAGGTTCTGCATGAACACAAGTAAGTGTTCTGCAATCCTTATTTGTTGCAATGTTATCCAGAATTTTTTATGATCAAAATAGTCTAGTTAGTGTCTTTGCATAGTCAACAAATACAGATAAACATCTTTATGATATAATCTGTTTCAACCAAGATCCATCTGACATCACCCGTAAGATCTGTCGTTGCCCATCCTCCTCTGAATCAGGCTAGAATTTCTGGTAGTTCCCTGTTGATGTTCTATTGCAACTATTTGAATTATCTTCAGAAAAATTTTTCTTGCATGTGATATTAATGAAGATCTGCTGAAACTTGCCTACTATGGTGATCCTCCTGGTATTTGAAATATTGGTGGCATAGTGTAGAGCATCACAGCAACATGCAAACCACCACAGTACAACAAACCAATATACAAGTGGTGGGGGCCATGTAGAGGGTCAGTGAAAAAGAGGAAGTCCATCAAAGCGATGTATTGACACAGTGGCTTCAACAATAAGCTCAAACATGACAACAACTGTGACAATGGCACAGGTCTGGGCAGCATTCTGTTGTCAGGACCTGACAACAAAAAGAACATTTTAGAAATGACAAAAACTGAAACTCAGAGAAATGAATTAATTTTCCAAAAGATCATGAGCCAGAAAATGGTAGATCTTGAATTCATATCATGTTTGTATGACTCTAGTCTTCACCTCTTGTATTTTATTATAAGCTCTGGGTGCTTGTAATATCTCCAAAATGTGACAATCTCAGAGAAATGATTGGTTTGTGTGAAGTTAATTCTTAGTACCTTGCTATCCTGACTTAACTTCAGCTATTAGAAGGCTCTTCTTTAGCATCAGTTAGTCCTCAGGTTTTTTAATCCACCAAAAATATTCCTTTAGAAATGATATTGGTGGTATGCTTTTTAAGACCATGGTATAATATTTCCACTATGACACAAAACAACAAATATCATCAGATAAAACATGATCACGTCAGATTGCTAACTTTCCTATCATTTGTGAAGATCATAGATCTTAAAATTCACACACAAAAACAGTGTTGGAGACTACTTAATTATTCCATTTTCAAAACTCCTTTGATAATTAAAGGACATGAGAGTATAGTGGTTCCCTACTAAGGTAGATTTGGGGAAATAAATACAAATATTTCTCACACGTTGAACTTTGGGACTTACTGATATACTATTAAAGTGTGAATTCTTCAAAGTTTTGTGTTTTCAGTTTTAACTCAATGGTTATCTTTAACATCTATTATTCTTAACTGTCACCCATTGTTACTGTTCAGTTAATACAAATAAAGTACTTGAAATTCTATATTCATTATCACTATCTAATGTTGTTGTTGTTGTTATGTGCCATCGAGTTGGCCCCGACTCATAGCGACCCCTCCTTGGGTTTCTGAGGCAGTATCACTACGACAGTAGGATTGCCCAACCTTCCTTCCGAGGAGTGGCTGGTGGGTTTGAACCGCCAGCCTTCTGGTTAGCAGTCAAGTGTTTTAGGCATTATGCTACCAGAGCCCCCCTTATTTTTAATAGCTACTCACTTATTTTAAATAACAAGTAGTACACACAATTACTTATATATAATCATATATTTTCTAGTTTTTAAATCAACCTTTTTTCAAATTTTGTTGCTGTAATGTTCAAAAAATTATAATCTCTCCTTTTCTTTCCATGAAGATAAGGAATCCATGTGATTACTCACTCTTCTGAAGTTCCACATATACTGGGGTGAGTACAGGGGCCTGGTTTCAAATCTCTATTTTTTCACTTATTAATCCTCTGTATACAAGTTCTCTAAGCATCACATTTTAATATGTGCAATGATCATTAAAATACCAACTTCATGGTACTGCTATGAGTGTAAAATAGGAGTTAAATTAAATGAGGAAATATATATGTAAAATTATTTTATAAATTTCAATGTATTATAAAGTGTTAGTTGTTATTATTATTTGGAGTGTCTGGGTGGCACAAATAATTAATGCACTCAATACTGAGAACTTGGTATTTCAAATCCACCTTTTCAAAGCCCTGGTGATCTACTTCCAAAAATTATCCACTGAAAACCCCATGGAGCACAGTTCTATTCTGATACACGGAGTTGTCATGTGTTGGAACAAACTTGATGGCAACTGGCTATTATTGAGTATATCCTTCTGCTCTAACTGTTGCCATTGAGTTGATTCCAACTCATATTGACCCTATAGGACAGAGAAGAACTGCTCCATAGGGTTTCCAGAGCTGTAAATCTTTACCAAAGCAGACTGCCTCATCTTTCTCCCCTGTGCCACCAGAGCTCCCTATTTCAGCTCTATCACTTGCTAAACCAATAGTAAGAATAAAAGTATTCATTATGACTGGATCATAATCTTTTTCTTAATAATAATAAACACACCTCTCAGAAATAGTGTACACCGCTAACTCAGCAAAAGACAACACAAAAACTAATCTTGTCTTTTATTTCATGCATATGTGATTGTTCACACTCATGAACACTTATATCTATATACACTGGGGCACATGAGAGTCATAATAGCCTATACAAACATTATGTAAATACGATCGTAAGCACATTCACCTAGCTAGGATCTCAGTTTCACTTAGAAGTTATGTTGCAGTTACAAAGTTCAAATATGTAAGAACTTGTCTTTTAATTTAACTAAATCCATTTGCCATAATGAAATCAAATTGCTACTACCCAAAAATGATTGAAATATACTCTCTCTCTACACACACACATGCATGCATACAGTTTTTAGTCTAAATTCTTTCACTCTGCTTAATTAATTATTAAACTCATGTTTAAAATAATTTTTGGGTAATAGATAAGAATACTTACCACTGCTTTGCTCTGAAGAATTAGATTTAGTTTATTTATGGCATCTGTAATTTGCTTCGTTTCCACACACCCGAGAACACTGCATATATTTTTAACTTCTTCAGTAATATTAACCATATTTTGCTGTAAATGACAAGATTCACATCTTACTGTTTATTGACATTGTGAAGACACTAATTTATCTTCAAACTCTCTTTCCATAAAATAGAATGAAAATTAAATAAAATGTGTTCATATGTTTCATTTAAAAAATAAGGTTCTCAAGACTCTGGTTGTCATGTGGCCTTAGTCACAACTTGCATTGAGGAAATGGTGAAAACTAATATTAAGATTGTGTATATGAACTTTAGAGACCCTGGGTGTCAATACAGTAAGTTGGTGTCAACTCGACAGTGATTTTTTTAATTTATTTTTTGGGTTGGTTTGAGCTCTGATTTAACCCTACCACTAATAAAATAAGAGAGACAGAGAGTAAGAGTAAGAAACTCAGTTTAGACAAAGTATGTAGTTTCTACAAAATACTTTGAAAAGGAAGTGACTGACTGCAAATATAGGTAGAGTTTGCAAATGTATCTGCTTTTGGAATCAGTGGACAGGAGGGCAAACTTATTAAAACTTAGATTCAAACTAAGATTCAGAACAAACTTGGGAAGGTGGTGTAAGGGTGTTAGTTAATTATCTAATTGCACTTAAGATGGTTACATACAGATTTTATGCTCACAGTTCTAAGAGATTTTTAATAATCTTTTATATCTCACCTTTGAACATGTTCTTGATAAGCTTTGAATAAAAATGAAAAATCTGTCCTATTTGACCTATAATTTCTTTGTGTACAGTACTTAGTTATGGTGAAATATATCCTTTCCTTAGTCCCAGGCTAATCACCTCTCACTGTACAGTATGTTTTACACATTTTGTATATATAGTAAAAAATGGTGGCTTTTCAAAACATGTTAACTCTATCACATGTTAACAGAGTCAGTCATTCCAATAGAGGATTAGCAGAATTTATTTCCAGGAGAGAGAGAGAGCAAAATAGCTGTTACTTTTCCACACACACAGGTGTGAATTCACAATACAAAAAAATTATAATTATTACTTTAGGTATTTTCTAACAAAACATCAATTTAAGGACATGACAAAAAATTATATTAGTGAGTTACCACTTTTCCACTTTCATGGGAAGCAACCACTTTTGTATATGTTGTCAGTAAGTCTTATATGTGATTTTATAAAACCTAGAAAGTATGCTTCATTAATTCTATGAAAGACATAATCAGAATTCCAGAAATTTTCAATAGGTTTGAGTAAAAAAAGTAAGAAGATGCAATTTAATTCAAATGGAAAAAAAAGTTAGTTGTTTTATTTATACATAAATTCTATGTGAGTCATTCTTGATGTGTGCCTTTCAGAAGTTCTATTTAATTATTAAATTGAATCAAAATACATAAACTCTCCATAACAGGAAAATTAAGAGTACAACCTCATTTTCCATATATATATAATCTGAACTGGAGTTTAGTTTTGAGCACCACATTTAAGACTGAATTTGACAAAGTGAACTTTCCCAAAGAAGAGCAACCAGACTACTTGTGGACTCATTCTGTACAGCATACTGGATAACATTTTCAGCTCTGCAGTCAGGTTCTCTGTGCTCAAATCTTGGTTCTTCCCCTTTCCACCTGAGACCATTATCAAGTTATCCAATTCCCATGTGGATACATTAATAGTTAATTATAAGTTTCTTGTAAAGATTAAATTAGAAAAAAAATATGTAACAATGCCAGGCAGGGAATAAGGTTAAATTTAAAAGTTTAATTAATTACCCATTCAAAGAGATTTTTTTTAAGTTTATAAGAGAAATTAGATACTGTACATGAACAATTTACTAATAAAATAAACTTAAAAAGTCATAAATGTTGTTGTTGTTATATGCTGTCGAGTTGGATCTGACTCATAGCGACCCCTCCTTGGGTTTCCAAGGCAGTATTACTACGGAAGTAGATTGCCCAACCTTCCTTTGGAGGAGTGGCTGGTGAGTTTGAACCGCCAGCCTTCTGGTTAGCAGTCAAGTGCCTAAGGCACTACGTTACCAGAGGTCCTTTTAGAGAGGTATATATTAAGTGCTACATTTATTTTTTCATAGATTCTTTGTGAGCAGATATGAATTTGTAAAAATCCATAAACATTACTAATTAAAATGCAAATCCTGGGTGATTGGCTTTGGACAGTCTACAGCCAGTACAGTCATCTACTATTCCAGCCTTGCAGAGCTTCTTATCTGAGCTAGGTTATTTATGTGCATTATCTCATTTAATCTTCACAATAATTCTGAAAAAGTAAGTATTAGTGTATCAATTATTTTCATGATTCACACACAGAGTTCTAGAAAATATAAAATGAAATATTTCAATCCCAAATAACTTGATAATTAATTGAATGTGAGGGATAACAGAAAGAATGAATGTAAAATTATTCTAAAATTTAATATCTCAAAAACCAAGAAAACAGAGTATCATTAATTACAGTAGGAAGCACAGATGATTCTAGAGGCATTATGATAAATTAGTTTTTTGATGCATTGACCTTGAGCTGACAAGGAGACAACCAGGTAGATGTAGCATTCATATAGTGGGATATTCAACCAGGTTCTAGCTGTAGTAATAGTTGGATGAGAAACATAAATACTCTACACAAACACACACACACATGACACTCTCAAATAAACACAAGATAAACTAAAAGAAGAAATGTAAATGCATAGCTTAACTCAAACGAAACACAACAACGAAACACACAGCCGTCGAGTCTGATCCAACTCATAGTGACCTCTCCTTGGGTTTTCTAGGTGGTATCTTTATGGAAGTAGATGCTCCATCTTCCTTCCAAGGAGTGGCTGGCGGGTTTGAACTGCCAGACTTCTGGTTAGCAGTCACATGCCTTACACACTATGCCACCAGAGCTCAAACCAAAGACAAGATGAATATCTAGGTGACAGGAACTTAAAGAGAACTTAAAGTTTGAGCAGAAATTCCAACACTGATGCTGCAATAGCTGAGGGGAAATATCAGACTAGATTTAAGTTCTTGGGCTTAGAGCCTGGTTTTTAATACTCATATAGGCCCCAAATTTTAGGCCTATACAAGGTGGTAGATGTAGGGTAAAGGACAGAGATAGAATTGAGATCCCTGAAAAAAAAATCCTAACATTGGATAGATTGCCTCTTGAATAGAGCAGGAGAAGAAAATCTATGCTTACTGACCAAAGGATTTTCCATGAGCTTCTCTACTCAGGGGCTTTGAGTAAGAAAAAGGAATTATATGAGAAATTGAAACCCTCAGCCTGTATTATATGTGACTAAGGAATATTATTATGCAATACCCACAGAAGGAATTTGTATTAAAAATGGTGGTGTTGGACTACTGTGATTATTTTTGATCCAGGTAGAAGCAAAGGCAAAGCAGCTGTTTAAAAACACCTTTCTAACTCAAAACTGTAGAGTTTGCTCTAAAACACACACACTCACACACACACACACATCCTGAATGGAGGGAAATTATCAGCCTGAAATATACACATTCTATGAGGTTAATGCACTATATGAGAGTCTACTGACACAAAGCGCAGTGAAATTAGCACTCAACTTCAACAAATATCAAACTAGATCTGGGTATCATTTTCATAGAGGTGATACATGAACAAGAATTTAGATATGATTGAAAAAGAAGAAGAGAGAGAAATGAGAGGAAAGCTGCAAGCTAGGCATGTCATATTTCAGAAAATCTTATATTTAAATGATAGAGTAGGAAATTTGGGCCAGAGATGGAGTGCTCGGAATATGGAGCAAAGCCATTAAGAATACAGTTGAATGACAAAAAACCAAATGTGTTGCATTGAGTTGATTCTCATTCATAGTGATCATATAGGACACAATAAAACTGCCCCACAGGGTTTCAAAGGTAAATATTTATGAAAGCAAACATCTTTCTCCCATAGAGCAGCTGGTGGGTACAAACAGCCAACCTTTCAGTTAGTAGCCAAGTGCTTAACCACTGTACCACCAGGACTCCTTAATAGACACCAAGTAAGAAATGGTTGATGGTACTAAGAACTTCTATCTTGGGGGAAAAGGAGAAAAGGAAATAGGATAACAATTTTCAAATATTTGATGGCCTGTCAGGTGAAAGGGGGATTAAGTTTATTGTAAGCAGCTTTACTCATCAGTTATGCACTATCTTGTTATCTGACATTTCATGTTCATAACAATAGCAAAAAAAAACTACTATCTCACTATTTTGTGTATTAACAAGGTGCATCTGGCAATAATGAATGCTAAAGTGTGGGGTCGGAGTAACGCTGGCTTTGATGATTAAGATTATATGTCAACTTGACTGGGCCATGACTCTCAGTGGTTTGGCAGTTATGTAATGTAATTTGAAGTCACGTAATGATGCAGTCAATCAATCTCCATTTTGTGATCTGATCTGGTCATGCTCTATTTTTGCATAATGCCAGTTATCACATAATGACATGGTCTTTGGAATCTAACCATATCTGTAAGTGAGGAGTGAGTGTATTAGAAAAATAGTTAGATTTTAGAGAGGTTTATTTGGTTCAATATGAGAAAAGTGTTTGCAAACATTCTTTGGTAAAAAATCAAGAAGTCTGCCTTCTGAGTAGAAAGTTTCTCCACTTTAGAGGTATGCGAACAATCAGGAATATTTAGAGGAGATTTTTGCATTGCATAGAGGTTTGACTAGGCTATCTCTAAATTCTTTCCAGCTGTGACACTTTGGGTTAATGAAGACTGATAACAACACTGTGATGTTATTTTATGTACTGTAGTCCAAGCTTATCTTAGGAAATAGTCCATTTACCATTCTCAGTGGTAAATGAATATTGAAGCAGCCTAAAAAGTATTTTGAACATTAGGAAAGATTGATGACAAAATTTTTGCATGGGCATTTTTCTGGGGAAACGAAACAAGATAATTTGTGTGTGTGTGTGTGTGTGTGTGCTGTTTTCCATCTCATTTAATCATGATGGAGGTTAAAGAGACATGCATTTAAACAGGTATGTAACAGCTTGCCATCTACCAGATTTTATATAAACTTTAATGAGAT